ACGGTGCGGGACAGCTCCCAAAAGCCAGAGGCGAGTTATCCAGCGCCGGTGTTGGCGGGTGTCCTGGAGTGGGTGGCCTCCCTCCGCAGTGCTCCGGAAACAGGTTTAAAAGCGCTGGATGATTAATTGGGCCCTAAAGAGAAAGACAAGCATTGCTGATGGGGAGGGAAAAGCTCCAAATTAGGACTCTTACCTGTGTCTTCACTGTGTGGCTCTTCTCACCGGTGTGTAACTCTGGCTTGCTGCTGGCATCCCCTCGCTGAGGGGACAGGCTCTGCCTGGGCTGCCCCTGGCACAGAGCTCTGGCACAAAGACTCCTCTCTTATGAGAGGAGGAAAACCAAACCTGAGTGTGGAGGGATGTGATATTAAAGATGGGACCGAACATACCCCTCCTTGTGACCACTAAGGCTTGAAATGCCATCTGCCACCCTCAGCTTCTGCAGCCCTGCGAGCTTGCTGCAGCACGTCTCCTCACCCCTTCACAGAATCACAGAATTGCCTACATTGTAAAAGGTCTTTAAAATCATCACATCCAATAATTAACCTAACACTGACAAGTTCTCGACTAAACCATGTCCCTAAGCACTATGTTTACTTGACTCTTAAGTACCTCCAGGGAAGGGGACTTCAGCACTGCCCTGGGCAACCCATTCCAGTTGCCACAGGGAGACCGGAAACCAGGCTCAGGGGCTCCACTCGGGCTGGAGGGAGCTTGGTGGTGCAGTTTTTAATCAGGACTATTGGAAAAAGCAGAGGGGTTTATCATCGTTATTACACAGTGAAGCAGCTTCGGGGAAAATGCAATTTCATGCTTGCTCCCTGGAAGCAAGGCCAATCTATAAAGTTGCTCCTGTCCAAAGCGGAGAGTGGGAATCTGTCTGGTACTAATTAAAATCAATTAAGCAAATCTCCACAGCAGGCAGAAATAAGGCCTTTTCTCCTGGGTGTATTTTTGAAAGATTTCAGAGCCTCCAAAATGGTGCATTGACTGTTTTCTTGGTTTCATCGGTTTGATAGAAAGGTCAAAAGCAAGAAAGAAATTTCTAGAGAAAAACCTGAAAGTAAATCATAGATCCTGCAGCTCTCCTGCACAGTGCTGCTGCTGCTGAACTCCCTCACGCAATAAAAGCAGCCAGCACACAGAAGTAACTGAACTGATGCTCTTAGAGACCTGTGGCAGTCCTGGGCAGGACGGCATTTCCATCCAAGCCTTTCCCCAGCTATCCCAACTCTCCCATCCTCACTAGAGCACAGGCACAGGCAGCACCAAATGTGGCCAGAAGAGCCAGCAAAACCCTGGCCATGCCGATGAGAAGCTATTCCTTCCGTTTTTTCTTTCCTGGGGAACCTTTTGTACAGGTGCTGGGTCTCCGTGATGGGATATCTGCTGCTGGTCTGACATCTGATGCCACTGATACCATCCTGCCCCTCTGCTCTGCCCTAGTGAGGCCACATCTGGAATATTGTGTCCAGTTCTGGGCCCCTCAGCTGAAGAGGGACAGGGAACTGCTTGACAGAGTCCAGCGCAGAGCCACAGAGATGATGGAGGGAGTGGAACATGAGGAAAGGCTGAAGGAGCTGGGGCTCTGCAGCTTGGAGAAGAGGAGGCTGAGGGGTGACCTCATTAGTGTTTATAAATATGTCAAGGAGGAGTGTCGGGAGGATGGACCCAGGCTCTTTTCGGTGACGCCCAATGACAGCATAAGGGGCAATGGGTACAAGCTGGAACACAGAAGGTTCTGCAAAAATATTAGGAAAAACTTTTTCACTGTGAGGGTGCCAGAGCCCTGGCACAGGCTGCCCAGGGAGATTGTGGAGTCTCCTTCTCTGGAGACATTCAAACCCCACCTGGACATGTTCCTGTGTGACCTACTGTAGGTGATCCTGCTCTGGTAGGGGGCCGGCCTAGATGATCTTTCAAGGTCCCTTCCAATCCCTGACATTCTGTGATTCTCTGATTCTGTGATCTGATATGACTTTCAGCAGTTTAACGCCCAGTGAAAATGTCAGCTTGTTTAACCCTCCCCAGACTGAGGCTTTCTGCACTGCCTGTTCACTACATGTCTAAATCCATCTTTGAAAAGTGAATCCATCTTCACAGGCCAGAACAAGAGGTTCTTAAGCTACACTTGGCTGCTCCCATTTCAGAGCTTCTGCATCCAAAGGCTTGGCTTGGTTTCTTACCACCACGTCTACTCAGTGGCTTAGTGAGACCTGTTGGCCACATCTACAGAGGCTTCCAGAGCAAATCCATCCCAAAACCATGGCACAACCAATGCTCAGGCAGTGTTTGGAGTTTGCACTTGAACCAGCTGTTCTGTTTTGGCAAACATGAGAGGTAACCATCACTCTTGGCCATCACACCTGCTGCAGCTCAGCTGGCAAGCTGTTCAGGTGGCTTGATGGCTGGTTGTAAACCTCAAAAAAGAGTTCCCACTGATCACAGAAGCAGTTCACGAAGGTGTTTTCCAGCTGTGTTTGCTTCTGTTTGTGCTCTTTGTCCTGTTTGCTCCTGGTTAGGAGCAAACCTAATCTAACTGTTCTAGGTGTGTGGCAATGGTAATCTTGTTCACTCTTGCTCGTCCCTTGGCTTTAACACAGATGTCAGTGAGCTTTTGGGTTTCAACTTTCCATCAGTGATGGAGCCTTGAGTCGCCTGACCTAGTTGAGAGGCGTCCCTGCCCATGACAGGGAGGTTGGACTAGATGATCTCTAAGGTCCCTTCCAGCCTAGGCCATTCTAGGATTCTATGACCTACTAGGAGTTGATTTTTTATTATTTGTTCTTCCACAGTGCTGCCTCACTTTGGCAAAGTGAGGTACCTGTGCCCTTGCTGCAGGAGAACTGTGCTGCTTCACTTCCAGCTCCGGGTTAACAAGAAGCACTGATGGGTGCTTGTCTTCCAAAGAAACCTGCTTCACTGCTGCCTGTGTTGTGTGGCTTGCGTGTCTGAAAGCTGATTTTTTTTTCATCTGTCTTCCTCTGAAATTACAAATGAGCAGCTTTCCTGTCTGCACCACATTACGGATCTTTGCTTTCTGTGGAGCAGCCCAAAAAGCTGAGCTCAGCACCTCAATCGGACACGGGGTAGATGCTAAATACTCATTTTTGGCTGGCCAGCATAGCAGTATGCACACTGCTTGGTGTGTAAGGCAAGAGAAATGCAGCCTGAGTTATTCCTGTGGTTCTGCCATAGGGTATTGCTTTGGAGTCTGGTAATTTGACCTTACTGCATGTGGCTGTTTCTCAGCTGTACAACAGGGATAGTGACATCTGTATAGCAGATGCAGGGGATTAGTGGTAATATTTGGGCAGGATCTGTGAAATACTGCTTTAAACTTACTGTGAAGGGTCTTCCACAAATCTGTTTTTATTTGTTTCTTCTCGTTAACCACGTGACAAAGAGGTTGGAAAACAGGGAGGCTATGTGGAGGTTGAGCCATGTTTCCTGCTGGTGTAAACACTAAAGGAGCTTCTTACCCCACCAGATCCCTGGGTGAGGCGATCCTCTATCCTCAGGGATTGACTGTTCTGCTCCATGTACCTCTACGATGCCTCTGAGGGTTAAACACAGGGTGCACGGAGAAGAGCTGGGTACTCTGCACTTTCTGCTTGCTGATGATCAGCCAAGGAGACAGGTGAGCCCAGGGGCGCTCACTGCTGTCAGACACCTCAGCTCTCTTTGCAACAGGAGGTGTTTTAACTGACAGGATCTGCTCTGCATGTGAAAAAGGGAAACCTGCCTTAGAAGCAAACCATTGTGCTAGGAGAGGCCAGTAGGCTGTAGGGCAGCAGGCTTTGTTGCTGTCCCCTCTGGCTGCCTCTCCACAGGAGCAATGGGCTGGAAGCGGGTCTCAACTCTGCTGCTCAGGTGCCTCCCAGTTTTGGCAGCAGGCTTGTGTGAAGCTCCTCTCGCTGGGAGAACCCTCCTAGAGCAAGAGCAGCAGTCTGATTTTGCCCTCTCTCAGCAGGGCTCCTCCTGACACCTCTCTGGAATGGAAAAGCAGCCTCGAGCTGCTACCAGGTGCCCCCTGGCCAAGCTCCTCTGGCCCTGCTGAGGGAACTCCTACTCCTTTTGGACATGGACCTTCCAACCACGACTGCTACAGAGCACCTGGTTAGCAGCACGTTTGGACACTTACCCCGGGAAAGTGGAGCGAGGAAACTGCTTCGTCCGGCAGCACATGTCACGCCATAAAGGGGATTAATTTCCAAAGCATGGAGACGCTGCCAGCAAGCCCCCTTCACAGGGAGGAAATGTCTTTTTTGGGGGGCTCTCCCAGTATTGTTTTACACTGGAAACTTGTGGCTGCACCCACCACCTTAGAGGCAAGGTCCCTTGCCCAACAAACTCTCCCCAGGAGCCAGAGGAAGGTCTGGTCTTCACATGGTGCCAGCAGATGGAAGAGGAGATGGCCCCAGTCAGTTCAGCAGCACAATACAATTTACAGTAAGCATGTTTGTCAAGACATCTGCAAGGACAGAGCTTCGCTGAGCATCATGTATATACAGGCAGCAGAGGAGGCTGGGCTGAGCCTCCCACTACCACGAAGCAGTCAAGGGTGGGCTCTTGGGGTGGAAGAGAAAGTACCACTGGTTTGCTTTTACATACTGTACATATAATCTATTAATAGCTCCTTGGCATTTGACGTTCACAGCCGGTTTCCTTTAACAGTGAGCGTAAAAAAGGAGGCAAAGCATCTTCAGCTACTTCCCCCTGGGAGGAGAGAAAAAGCAGCATCTCCCGCTCCTCCGGCTCAGCCGCTTGCCCAGGTGCCACCTTCACCAGGGTTGTCTCTTGCTCCCAGCACCCTCCTCCTCCTCCTCATCGGCCGCCCACCACGTGCTGGCCGGAGCCAGTCCAAACCCCGGCTGTGCTTGCCCCATCTCCGCTGCTCAGTGCGATCAGTGCAAGTCTCCGTCGGCTGCTCTGCACCTCCGCTCCGCTGGACGGGCAGATGAACCGGGTTCGGACAGAGAGAGACAAAAGAAAAGGAAGAAGAAGAAAGACAAAGGGTAATGAAAAGGTCCGTGGCTCACAGCTGCCAAAGGAAATCTCTCGCCGTGTTTCTCTGACCATACTTGTCTCAGCCACTACAGCTGCTGTGGGATCCCCTGTTCCTTGTAGCCTGTGGGGAGGGAGGGGAAGGGAACATCATTAGTGTTAATTCCTAGCGAGGATGCTTAGCGAGACTCAAGGGAGCCATGAGCCTGGTTTACAGGGAGTGGGTGAAACAGGGGGGCTGCCACATCCTCCCTCATGGCTGAGCTGCCCCAGGGCAGGCTCAGGCTGACCAGCCACCTTGCCTTGCTTTAGCCAACACCTGCCCCATCAGCCATGGGGTTCAACCACAGGCTGCGACCACCTTCCAGGGCCCAGCGATGTGGCTACCAGTGGCCAGCCTGGCCACTGTGGTGCCTCCCTGCCCTCGAAGCTGGTGTGGGCAGAGGCACCTCTGCTTGGAGAGGTTATAAAAGCACGCTAAGTACCGGTGGCCACTGATTCCTGTACAGCCCAATAACTAAAAGCTTTATGGCCATGCTGCATTGTCTGCCTGAGTTATCCTGTACCAGAGCATGCTTTTCTGCATTGTATGCCCGGAGATAGCATCGTTCCACCAAGAGCTGACCTGGTAGCGCATCCAACACAATGGATTGTGGCCACGCACCCAACACAATCGCGTCTCTGCTCGAGATCTATGTCCGAGCTTCATCCCTCCAGATGACTGCCAGATAGGAGGAGGCTGGTTTCCTCTATCCACCTTTTACTTCCCATACTGGCTTTTGCTAACAGAGCTCTCCAGCAGCAACCAATTTGCACTGCAGTTTGCAGAGTGAACGAGTATCTCTTGGAGGAGAAGGGGAATGTCTTTAATCACAGGCTTATGTGTCAAATGTAGAACTCGGGCTGTCTACACAGGTCCATTCCCTAATGATATTCTCACTGCCTTGTCATGACTTGCGTTGCTCCAGCCCAGCAGAATTACAAGGTGCTTTTATTGGGGCACAGCAGCTGTCCGGCAGGACTGGAGAAAAGGGAGCCTTCCAGCAGCAAAACAAATTTCACTGGGAAACTGCCTGGATCCCTCCTCCTCCGCCCCTTCTCCTCTTCCCGTGGCCATGGGGTCTAATGCACCTTCCCACCAAGGCAGCAAGACCTTTGAGGTTGCTCTATGTTGGCTCATGCTTGGCCCCAGGGCACACAGGGTCCTGCTGTGCTGCAGACTAAAGCTGCCTGTCCCACTACTCGTCATGGCTTCTCGGGGCACTGGGGACCCCTGTTATTTGCTATCCCACATGTAGTGGTTGAGGGGATGTTGTAAATCTCATACGGGCTCTTTTTCCACAGGGGCTAGGGCAGAGAAGGGCAACAGGAGAACACCTGCAGCTCTTATGCTGACACAGGATAATGAGAAAAATACCATGTTGGGTTTTTTTAATGCTTTCTGAAGTGGCTGCAATGACTGCACCACAAGCTTTACTTGCTTTCTTTCGAAAGGAAATTCGGACTGTTATTATGATAGTATCAATGCAAAAAAATCTCTCTTTTAAAGAAGTGAATAGACTGTCCTTACCTGCACCGCCTGCAACAGTGAAGGTCTTTCAACTAGAAAGCTTTTAAAAATCTGAAGGTTTTTTCATTTGTTTAAATAACCTAAGTAGCCTGTCATTTTTATGTTTTGAATTTCAACTTAGTCCGAAACTTCACATCTCAGAGGCAAGCTTCACTCTTCAAATGCTTTTCCACTGGCACTTTTTCATATTTTTTCCAATCCATATGTTACATTTTTTTAAGTCCCTTTAAAAAGCTGAACACAAAATACCAGCAGGTGCCACAACCCCTATCTTGAAAGGACTTTTTGCTGAACCAAGAATTGGTCCTGGCAAATGAACATTGCTGTACTTTGGAAAAATTCATGTGTTCGTTCAGCCTTGGCAGTCTGGATCTCCTGCTGCTAAATGAGCACAAGGAATAGAGGAAGAGATAAATGACACTTATCAGCACATATTACCTTGCATGGCATTGCTGCCCACCGTGTGCAGCTGAACAGAAAGATTGTCACCTCTTTCAAACAGCTTTTTCTAGGGGGGAAAAAGATTATTCCTCCCGCATTCATGTTCTAAGTGTGAGTCAGCTCTGAAGACAAGATGAGCTGGTTGGAAGTCTGTAAAATGCGCTCATCTATGGTGTTGGTTTAATTTGTTTTGGGAGCACGCTAAAAATAAACCAAAACCCAACGAACTACATGGATCAGAAAGTTGGGGCATGCCATAAATCTTTAGCTAAAGTAAGCAAGCTAGGTTATGCTTACAGAAACTTGCTTGCATAGCCATGCCTTTTATTAAGATACAATAGTAAACTTTTCAGTTCTGCTATAAGTTTTGAAGCTATCTGGAAGTAAGTAACAGCAGCTGAGCCTGCACGTCTCTTTACATGACCAAAGTAAGTCAAAGGATGACCTGTCCTAGGCTAAACTTGTTTATTAAAATACTTCACACTTAACTTTTAAATAATTTATATATGAAAATAGTTACTGCATTTCTTGCACAGGAGTAGCTATTCTGTATGAAACAGCTTTATGTTAGTACACCTGCAACACAGTTAAGGTGCAGTTCAGTAAAGCAGACGGCTTGGGGATCAAGATTTAGTTGGTCTGAGTATCTGTACACAAAATCACTGATTTAATCAAGTTTGCTTGAGATTGCACTCCTCCTGTAAACCACTGGAAGTAAGATTTGGGGAAAAAAGAAACCAGTGTGTGCACAGGCTGTGCTGCGGTGACCAGGTTTGTGCAGAGGGATGCTCTAGAGGCTGAAACAGGTCCCTGCCTTGCTCTGAGGGTGCCCTTGGGGCAGCCCAAGGGGCATTTCAACTCTGAGCGGAAAACATGTCCTCAGGGCTCTGCAGCCACAGGACAGACACAGAGACAGGCAGACATACGCACGTACAGGCACACGGGTGGACTGGGGCTGGGAGCGGGAAACGCTGACCAAATGAATCCCAAATGGCTTGTCCCTGCCGAGCGCTTGCTGCTCTCTGCGGAGAGCTGCCACGGGGTGTGAGGAGGGGGAGGAGGAAGAACAGAAACAAACTTACCTTGTGAAACTTTGACGGTGAACAAAAGGAGGCAAAGGAACATGAAAGAAAGAGAGAGGGAGAAAGGTAACTATAGACGATATATCCAAAACACATGGAGAACCAGAAAAGAGAGCAAACAGAGAACAGCAGCTCTATCATCAGACGTTCACACCAGGGCTAAATATTTTTTTAAATCCTTGTACTTGAACTGGATCATTTCATTTGGGGCTGTTCTTTAAAGAGGATGAGGGAAACCTCATCTGCTTTCCAGCTCACCATCCTCGAGCTGAACAGGTTGTATGGACTCACTGAGCCATGCTCCCACGTAACTGCTATTTCATGGGCCTGACCAAAGGGGAATCGCTGAAGGAAGGTGGAAAACAAGATGTCACAACATAACAGACGATGCATGGCACACTGTTCGTGGTCCAAGAGCTGGGAAAACTACACCTGATGGCTTTTTGAACAGCTTTATTGCTGAGTTTGCTTGTGCCCAGAGACAATTCACAACCGTGGCGTGCCTCAGCCTGGCCGGGTGCTGTCAACCCTGGTGGTATTTAACATTCCTACAATATGTGAAGAACTTGAGGGTAGATTTAGATTAGATATTAGGAAGAAATTCTTTTTTATGCGGGTGGTGAGGCAGTGGAACAGGTTGCCCAGAGAAGCTGTGGAACCACCTTCCCTGGCTGGATGGGGCTGTGAGCAACCTGCTCTAGTGGGAGGTGTCCCTGCCCATGGCAGGAGGGATTGGAACCAGATGATCTTTAATGTCCCTTCCAACCCAAACAACTCTGTGATTCTATGAACTTGCCCTACTGTAGCATTTGGTAGGAAACTGCAAAAAAGGCTATTTTACCTACTTTCCTCAGACATAGTTTGGGGGATGGCTCTATTTAGATTTTTAAAATAATAGCAATAGGTCTAAGCAGGCAATTTGTCCTCAGAATTTTCTTCATCATGGGGGAAGGGTTACCAGCTGGTTTAGGCTGTTGTTCTCTTCTGAGTCTCTCAAGAGCTTTCTGCTCCCTTTCCTTCCCAGCGCAGCTGTGTTACCTGCCCTAGCAGGGGCCCTGCAGAGAAGAGAGGCTTCGTGATCCTTTCCAAAGTCCCTCGGAGCCCAAGTGTACAGCAACCACGCAGTCATCTGCTGCTGCTTCTGGCAAGGTCTGAGCACTGTAATTAGCAGAGGATTGACAAGTGGACAGTGTGCTTAGAGGTAATTTCTTACTACTGGCTGGCAATCAGTCCCTGGGAGTCAGTGGCTCACTGCAGAAGTCACAAGTGATGGTACTTTTGCTCATTTGCAGGCACAGCCACACAAGACTTTAATTCAGAGGCCAGAAGAAGAGCAAGGGCTCCCTTCAGGAACCAGGATTGATTCCTTTGCTGCATTTACCTTTGGCTGCATCCAGACAAAGCAACACCCAGACAAATAGTCCCCAACTTCTGTCCCCGTACGCCACCTCAGTGTGACATTACTATATTGATTTCTATGGTACTTCTGTCAGGAAATGGCACAAACCCTTTTATAACTGAGCAACTAGAGAGCTCCTCGGAAGGCCATTCCTCTGCAGTCATCCTGCACGATGCAGCTAATGAAGACGTGGGCTGTGTGGACAGGGAACAAGGTGTGCCTTTAGCAGAGGGAAACTTGTCCCTAAAACCTTAGGAGGCTCATTTTCCAGTTGGCCTTGGCTAGCTAATTAGCTCTGTTTTGCCTCAGCTCCATGCCTTGTCCCCGCAGCCACAACGAGTGGCTTGAGGAGAGCACAGTGCAGCAACCACCAAGGGCAGCTGGATATTTGCAGCAGCAAGAGGAGAGTCCACATGTTTTAATATTTTTCTTTTTTTTTTTTGCAAAAGAGTTGTGCTTCCTTTTAATCTACGTTTGTCTTCAGACAGGAGGTAAAGTGAAGAACGGTTCCCAAAGCCATATGGCTGCTTAAAGAAGATATCTGTGGTGCTTAACAGGGCCAGCTGGCAATTCATTTAAATTAGCAAAAAAAATGCCCTGTACCATTGTGCTGCCAAAAGGAATTAAGTGTGACAGCAAAACTGCATTCAATTAATCTTCCCCTGGGATATATCCCACTAAAGGGCACCTTACAGGAGATGAGGGCTGGAGAGCACCCCCTGAGGTCAGTTGGTCTCTTCCCATGCCCCACCTTGCTCCTGACAGATGAGGGTCTACCTGCTCTCAGGATCTTCCAGTGAGAGGGAGGGCAGATCCTGCAGTGCCACCTCCTTGGCATTTTGATTTTAATGGAAGGAAAACATTTGATTTTCACACAGATCTTTCCTGTTGTCATTTAAGTCTGTCTTAGGCTAAACTGTTGCCGTTTCATGTTTACTAGCCCACTGATCCTCTTCATTGCCTACTGTCTCATGGTTGTCTGGACTCTCTCCAGGCTCTCCACACGAAGTACAGCCTCCAAAGCTAGCCACAGCCTCATCACAGTCACGTCTTGAGAAAGGTGAGGGGACCAGTTAATGTCCTAGAGGCTCTACTCCTCCCCACCTGGACAGTGTTTGTTCCCTCCACAGCAATGTAACCCTGGGCAGCTTGTGAGTCACTGGCAGCCACCACATTCTTCTCTGAAAAACAAGTTGTTCAAGTGTATTTATGCAGTTGATTAATCCTTCCTTAGCATCTTGGGGTTGCCTCTGCTGAGTAGGTTTGGGCTTTTTTCAGACCATTTCTGTGATTTGCTTGAATCTGGACACCGCTCTCAGTGTCCACACCACCCCTGCAGCCACCCGTGGTGTTGAGCTGGCAAGTACCTCCTCTGGTCCACCATCAAGGCATGAATATTTCTACAGAGTAGAGATGGATTCAAGAGGGATCTTTCAACACACCTCTCCTTGTATCTTTCCAGTTCACGAAAATGCATTTGGCTTGCTGGTGGGAATACTGTGTGAGACAGACTCAGTGCCTGGAAGTCCAGAAGGACAGATGCCCTGCACCACCGCCACTGACAAAACGAATCTCTCTGCCACAGAAGAGAATCAAGCCAGCCCGGTACAGCTTGTTCTGTACAAACCCAGGTTGACTTCGCTTCTTTTTATTTGCTAAATGCATGCAAGTCACTTTTTGATTACTTCTTCCAGGAATTGAAGTATACCTGATTGGCCTATAATTCTTCTCCTTTTCCCCTCATTAACGACAGTATGACATTATCCCCAACGCTCTCCTCTCTGAGCAGGCTCTCCCTGTCAGAGGCTGAGAATTAGCACTAGAAGATAAAACACTGTGACGAGCCTCCCTAACCCCTACTCAGCTCTCTGATCCCACCCTGGCAGGCCCAGATCCGGGCAGCAACACACTCATCCCTCGGGGAAGGCTGGAGTGGGGTCCTCAAGCCACGGCTGCTTCCCACTCTTCTCCCCACCAACTGCCATCAGTTTGCACATCACCCGCTGTGCCCTGCCTCTAGCCCATCCAAATTGTGTGGCACCCCCACAGGGACGTACAGAATCGGCCGTTTCGAGGCGAAGAAGACTAGAGGTGGGCAGAAATTTTATATTATTTCTTTTTTTAACTATTTCCCACCTGCACACAGATTCAAGTTGCAAGGGCGCGTGATGTCTGTCCAGCACATCAAATTGTTTGCACGCAAACAAAACCGAACCAAAGTAAATTGTTTCCTGGCAATTTGCTTTTTAACTGACATGTCTTATTTCTTGCATTTGAAACATTTTTTCCTTTTTATTACTTTTTTTTTTCCTTAACATGAAAACAAACCATGAAAAAACAAACCATTTTGGGTCTGGCAGGGCTGTTTGATCCAGCTGGGAGCAACTGATCACTTCTGTTCTTTGTTTTGACTGAAAAATGAGTTTTCTCTTTCGTTCTCGTCAACCAAGAGCTGCTTTATTTAGCCACTGTTTCCTCGGCATGGTAAGTAAACTTAAACTCAGCTGTCTAATGAGACAGCAGGAAACTGCCAAGGGTCTCAACTTGTCAGATGATATCTTGCTGGTTAACATAAGACACGTTGACTCCTCTTACCCTTCTCTACTGCTAGTGGAGGGGTTGGGATGAAATGCTGTGGCTGGGGACCTCTTGCCCTGAGCATCCCCATCACACGCTGCTCATCCACCTTCTGCCTCCAAACTGGTGGGGCCCAGCCTGGGGCCATACTTCCAACCTGTATGGTTTTCCCCAGCAACCAAACTGGAAAACCAGTAAGAGCCTCAGCCCCTCTACCCAGAGGACATACATGAAGAGAACTATGGAGAAAGTAAGTCAAGAAAGCACGTCACATTTGCAGATGGAGCTCTGGGTGTCTGGGCAGATGCTTTCTTGCCTCTCCCCACAACTGCAGAACCAGGTCCTGCCAGACAGAGAACTGCACCCAGGGGCTGCCCAGCAGAGGAACAGCGGAAGAGCAGATGATTATGAACATGTAGTTATGGGATTACACACAAATCAGGCAAGTTCTTAAAGACACGTCACAGATGTACACCGATTCACAATTTTTCCTTGAAATAATTTTTCCTAGAAATAACTTGGGCTACCCCTGCTCCACAGGTACTTCTGAGAGGAAGCTTGGCAGGTGGTTTGCAGGAAAAAACGAAGGGCAGTGCTGCCTTCATCCCAAGGAAAGCCTTTTGCCTCACTTATGTTCATCCTTTGCCCTGTGTGGGGATTGCCCTTAACTTGTCCTGTAAATTGAAGCTGGCTCAGAAATTAGCAGGTGGGTAAACAGAAGGGTTTAACCCCTGTGTTTGGCAGCTGAAGATGGGCATTGGTTTTCTGCTGGTTGTTTTTTTTTTCCAGTTTCATCTATTTCATCTTTAGGCAGGTGCCTGGCAAATTCCTGAGATCTTCTCTCCTCCTCTGCCGTGCAGCCACAGATGCCATCGGCAGAGATGACAAAGCGGAGCCCCTTCAAACCAAGAAAAAGCAAAAGCTGGTGGTAAGGATGTTCTCTGGGAGAAGTGCTTGCTTTGGGAACCGCCTGCCCTGCCAGCCTGAAGGATCTCAGACCTGCTTGGTTTGGGGCAATGCCCACCAACTTCTGGCAGCCTTTGGAAAGGGAGAGGGGTCCTGCAGAGGCAGTCAGCACCCTGAGCTGTGGGCTGCTTCTGGCTTTGGAGGTGAAGCTGTCACGTAATTCTCTGCAATATGATACAGGGAATAGGATACAGATATGATGCAACTTTTACATCAGTAAAAGTCTTTAGCAGATGAAATTACAGAGCCTATATTCTAGATTGGTAATATATACTAACTGGGTGACCTAAATTGTGTATGTTAAAAAAAAGATTCTTCTCTTTTTTCCCTAGGCTAACTTTTTGGAGGGTCCTTAAAGGGTGTAGGAGATATCTTTCTAGGAACAGCTAAACAGTCCTGCTCAGCCTAAGAACTTGGTGTGAAACATGAAAAAAAGCCTTTGGGTAAATGTATTGTGGAGAGGAAGGGGAGGGTCTAGGAGAGTCCCCAGGTCTTTTCTGAGGACAGCTGGCCCTGCATCGTCCCTGGGAGTAGAACTAGCCTCACAGGAGGGTCTCGCTAACCAGAGATGTGCAGCCAGAGTTGCAAGGGAGAAAGAGCTTTCTCCTTAAGACACACACCTGGATGTAGCCAGGGCAGAAGAGTCTCCAAGCAGTAGAGTTCTAAGTGCTGGGGACAGCCTCACCCCTCTTTGCCTTGCATTTTATAAAGGGGAAAGGAAGATCCTAACCCATGTGGCAGGATGGGAGGCTCTTCCAGATGTGTCACAGGGCCTAATTCAACTGTGTCCAAATAATTCCTCTGCCTGCTGTGTTTCTCATGGACTTGAAGAACCCAGCCTGTGACTCTTCTTTCCTACAGCGAAGTCCGATGGCTCACAGGGACATGAGCTGGGACCTGGCAACATGGTCATGGAAGGGAGAAGTTGGGGAGGGGTGAGTGCACTGTACTTACTTGCGAGAATGACCATGTCCATCCCCCAAAATATACTCATAATCCAGCCAACCATCACGATCGCTGTCAGGATCTGAATCAGAGCAGCAGCAATGTTCAGCCAGAAGACACAACACATGTGCCTGTCAGGGAGGTCGGTCCGGGCTCCACACAACACGGTGAAAGCAGATACAAACGTTCCTGGGGAGAGAGCAGCAACAAAATGCGCAGTGAAAGCCATGGCTTCGAGCCAAATTCCTTCAGTTAGACCCACCTCTCATAGCATCCCAGTTCTTGTGCAATGCTGAAAAGCTGGAAACACTTTATAGGGGGACAAACGGAGGCACACCCACATCTCACTCGAACCAGCTACTGTCTCCCATTGAATTACACCAACATGTATACTTGAAAACCAGGACAGAAAAAAACACTCTGAGTTTTGGCTCCTTGCCCCCCACCCAACAGTAACTAATTTGTGGACTGTAGGCAGTTTACAAAGGAGTTCTGTACGTCTGTGGAAACACCAGCCTAGCTTTCTTCTGCCTGGTGGCTCTCTCTTGGGGACAACATTTACTACACAGAAGCACTACAAAAGGAAAATTCATAGAATCATAGAACGGCCTAGGCTGGAAGGGATCTTAGAGATCATTTTAATCCATACTCCTTGTCATGGGCAGGGACACCACCTCTCGACTAGATCAGGCAACACATGGGGACCAAACAGGAATTGCACCCAGAGTCAGAGTAGGACTGGCTCTGGAAAGCTGTACGGGTCTGGCAGTCTGTTGCTGTTCACAAATACTGTTCTAGAAGGAGCCACACCAAAAAAAAAGCGTGCCAGTGTGGCACTGCATCTTTGTATGACACTTCCCCAGTTGCAAGTTGTTACCTGAGAGCATGTTTTAATGAAGCAGAAGTAGCTAAAAGTGCTGAAGCCAAAGTGACCTGGTGTTGCAGCCTTTGGCTCTGCTCAAGACTGACTTACAAAGCTCGCAAGCACCCTTCAGACTTCCTAAAACAATTCAGAAGAAGGATCTTGTTGATGTACGAAAGTTAAAACCAAGAGAAAAAAAAATAGGAAAAAAAAAAACCAAACCCACACTACACCACAGCAACTTCTGCAAAGATCCTCCCTGAATTTACCACATTGGACAAGCCTGATCATTGATTCACAGCTGATGTCCTGGGCCCATGGCTAGCTGAAACCTGCAGCTTGGGGAAGCCTTGTCTTTCCCACAACCAACCTGCAGAAATATAAAGCATGGACAAAGAGCAGAAGAAACTGTTTCTGATCATGTAATATATCAACTGCTGGCCACAAGGTTCAGTCACCCAATCTAAGTATGCATCTCAACACATCTTATCATTATGAATTGTCTTTGGGATTTTTTTTTAGGGTAGGTATAAAGGTGTAATGTGGATTGTCCTGGATAACGTAGTTCTGTAAAATGTTTTTTTCAAGTAACGTCTTGAATTAAAAATCCTGCAGCATGATGCCCAGTGGTTTCTACGGAAAATTGCCCTTTTTCCTATCAAAGGCTGGAAGCCTGCAAATGGCCTGTAAGATGTGATTGAATGTGCTCATCTTCAATGCACATCAGCACCTTGTTGAAATCGGGAGAAGGAGGGAGTCCCTTGGTTTAACTGAAGATGGGGAGAAAACAGTTTATACACTTCTAGATGAACTCACCAGACAGAGAGAGCAGAAGGATCTGCTTAGGAGCAAAATGTCATTTTGTCCTGAAAACCAGAGTGGTGGAAAAGATATTCTCTTCCATTGCTTCCTCTTCAGTGGGTCATGAGGATAACGGGCAGTTAAGATGTTGAAACACTGGGGAAGTCAGTTTAAGCCTATTTTTAGTCTCACCATCCTCTGCAGGCTTCAACTCCAGCATCTTCCTGACACTCCACCACCTCCTAAAGACCCCGCTCGTCTTCCTGTCATTGGCTTGATCCAATTTCGTACTTCTACCCGCTCCCTTTTCCACACAGGGAAGCCGGGCACAGAGTGGTACCATGGCAGAGGGGAGTGGGTGAGTGCTGCCGGGGTGGTGGGAGGCAGGAAAGAGGGGTAGGGTCTTCAACCCTGTGAGAAATCCCCCTCACAGAGGGAGGATTCACCCTCTGACTGTTGGGCTTTCACAGGCAGGGTTTCATCCCCTTATCCACTAAAAAAATAGGGTCTGTGCAGAGAGAAAGGGGAAATCTTTTTAATCTCAAAGGATGTTGTGTAAGTCTCCCCACTGCTTGTTAAGAGAAAGCCTGTCTTCTGCTTTGTTGTTGTGTCTTCCTTGTCTTTTGTGTCCTCCATGTAAGATCTCTGCCCCGCTTCAGCTACTTCTTTTCTTCCCTTTATAGTGTCTCCAAAGCAGAAGGAAGCCTGCAATATTCCCCTGTGCTTCCTGAAACTGCTGTCTGCAAAGTTACACCAGAGCACTCGCTGAGATTAAATATGGATTGAGGCAAGATCAGAGACTGGCTGTTTATATTCTCCCATCAGGATGCAAAACTTTGCCAAATGGAAATGCATGTCTCCAAAATGGAAATGAAAATCTTTCCCTCTTGCCTTTACCTTTAACTCTTCCAAGGTATGTTACAAAAAAGGTTGTAAATGAGCAATAATTCTTAAGCTGCAGCTTCAAACCCTTCCAGTGGCGCTTTTAAGGTTTTTACATCATTAGAGTGAGGTGCTGAATTAGCTAAATAATCCCCTAAACCCCACAGTGACTAAGGTAATGTCTAGTCCCATTCGGAAAGGAATAAAGCAGACAAAGCAGTTAAGGGTCTCTCTCTGGGCAGAGAATCAATATGGAGATTAGGATTAAAATTTCATGAACCTTGGCTTCCAATTCCTTCTTCAGGCCATACTCCTACTCAAGGGAGTCAATTCATTTTCTAGTACCAGTGCATTTTCTTTATTAATTATGAGAAGCTATTCTTTGGGAGGTTGTTGCCATTTTTAAATACGAGACTTGACACATGCCAGCAGGCATAAAATGAAAGTATTTTTCCTCTAGTCCACACATCCTTTAAAATGTGAAGCAGAAGAAAGTGTTACGTGCATTTGCCAAGGTAGATGATTTCCCCTTAAGAAACCATCGCAGTTACAAATTGCTGAATATAGAAGTGTTTGCATCTGGAAGCAAAGAGGTGGAGAGGAGGAGGAGGAAGGCAAACAAGCTGTACCTGCTGATACTGCCTGGCTTTGGCAGAGCTAGGGCACCGAACCATTTCCCTTCCTGACTGAGCATTCAGACACTTGAATACCTATAGCCTAGAAATCATAAGCCTGGTACCCAAACTGCAACTGTGTTGATATTGGCCAAATATACCAACTGTCCAAAAAGGTCTCAGGCTGTGAGTGTAACCAGCAAACACAAACTGCTAACTTCCAAGCTGACGTGAAATAAAAGCCCCTACAGCTATGCTAGCATAACGTAAGTAAATTATATCAAGCACTACTTATATCTTCTGAATGAAAAATACCCAAAACGGCGTAAAATCTGGGATTATGGGAATAGAGGGGAGGCGGTGGAGGGAAGATGTCCTATGCTACCTGAGTCTGTCTGTTCAGCCTCCTGGAGCACCAGGGCTCATCGCAGTCTCCTGACCGAGCCATGTAGCCCACCTGGCACCTGGGGCCAGCAAGTACCAGGGGCTGGGCAGAGGGGCGGGTGGGAGCCAAGGTTTACCCTTCTGAAGCAGCTGTGGGGCAGAGGATGAAGGCACCATGTGCAGCGAGCCTGGGAGGGGATGGGAAGCCGAGCTTTCTCTTTCAACTCATGTCATCTCACTTGGGGCGGTGTCAGCCAGCCAAGGCACCGCACACCATTTTCGGCAAGGGAAGAAAGCCTCTGGGAGCCTGTGTTTGCTTTTGCTGTCAGCAGAATTGGGGTATTTTTAGATTACAACAGTAAACACAGAAGGCTTTTTGTTTTCAACAATTTAACCCATTGAATACAAAGGGGATGTGTTATCTGTAGGACAGCACTGTAAAGGGAGAGACAAATTAGGGGGTTTTTTTTGCCCTTTGACTCCTCTCTGGTCCATCATCATGCAGAATAAAGCTCCCTCTTTAGGGTATGCTGGTACCCTGGCAGCCATGGCCTTCCCAAGAGCATCACCTGCTGGTCCCTGGTCTCACAGAGTACACCAAAATAATATGAGAGGAATCATTTGTGGTTTTTTCTCTAAGAGAAAAAAACCTCACACCCTGGAGAGAGCTCTCCTGGTTTACTGCTGTTTGGGTCACCCATGTGGCATGGAAGAAGACATGAGATCCAGCCCATGGCTTACCCTGAGCAGTCTCCTCCGTGATATCTGAGTACAATGGTGACTGTGTTATGATATCTAAGTACAGCAGTGACTGTGTTATGGACTATCTTAAGTTGCATGAGCAAAGTTCTTCTCTCCTGTTTTTGCAAGAAAGTCTATCCTGGGCACTTCTACAGGAACTTCAGCCAGACAAGGAGCTTGGCATGTTTCATGCAGAGGAACTGGCTGTGAGGAAACTTCTGATGGCACGTTCCCAGAAATATCAGAAGTGGGAGCCTGGTTGGAGCCAGGGTGCAAAGCAGAGCAGAGCAAGATGAGACACTGATGGCCACTGTGTAAGCGCAAGTAATTTGAGCACATGGTCAACCTGTTAGTGGGCTTCCCACTGACTATCAGATATCTGAAACTTCACACCAGAAAGCATTTCTGCTGCAAGGAAATCACATCTGATGAGCTACCTTGTTACAGGTGGAGGAACAGCAGAAACCCAAATTACTGCAGGCAGGGGCAGCATGTGGAGCAGCTGCTGCTGGTTGTGGTCCCTACCTTACAAAAGCCTGGAGCCAAGGAGGGGCTGGGAAACACCCATTCCTCTTCCCACAAGCCTGGGTGTCATTTAAGATGTTCCCCTATAGCACTGGAAGTAAATAAAGCAGTGGGATGCTGTCTCCTCTCTTGTTCCCAGATAGAAAAGCAGGTACGTGTTATAACACTGGAGCACAGCTACTGGTAAGCACAGGTGAAGATGGGAATGAGGCTTGAGGTGTCTGTGGGAGCAAGGCAGGCTGCTGGACCAATGGTGGGAGATGTAGTTGTTAAGTGTGTGTTTTGTGGGGATGAGATGCACCTGTATTGTGCCAGGGGAGTGCTCTGTGTGGGGACGTGTCTGATGCGCCTTTGAAATTTTTAAGTAAAATGATTATTAG